ATTTTCTTTAAAACGAAGGGAGTTGCAAGAATGACACCAGAAATTACTCGTAGTTTTTCCTCTACATTGGTTGCATTCATCTAAGTAATTAAAATTATATAATCTCCAAAATATTAGTGCTAATAGTAAATATAAAATATAATTTATTTAAAATAATAAATATTAATGAAAATATGCTTACTCCCTAAAGTAAAGAATATAACTCAGATCAATTAAACCAATATTGTGGACTCTATTATAAGAGTAGTTGACTTTGTAAAGTATGTTAGAAATACTTGAAAAGAAAGTAGAGATTTGTTTAAAAATTGTTACTATATATGTAACAGAAATTAATTATTTAGATCAAGGTTTTTTTTTCTTTTGTAAAAATTCAGATTATATAAAACAAGTAAATTACCAATAAGGAATTTGCTTTCAAAACAAACAAGTGTTTTTCTCTTTGTTTCTGGGTTTTTTAATTTAAAAATATATTTATTGTAATAATAAACTGATACATATATAATTTATTATTGTATATTAATATTGAATATATGATATCAAATTTACTTTTTCAATAAAGATTACAAGAAATTTCTTATTTCACATTAAAAAATTGATAAAACCTTTATAAAATTGCAAAAATAAGGTATTTCACTATGTTTTAAACATAAGATATAAATAGAAATTGCTTGTTAAAACAATCATAACAAAAAAATAAGTACAATATTATTTGAAAAAAATTCTTAAAATTTTATATTATGATATGGATTTATCTTAATTCAATAAAAATTTTATTTTAAACAAAATTCACAAAAAAAAATACTATCATATTGAATAAAATAAATAGTTAAGTATTTCTGTGCTTTTTTATTTAAATTGTATTTAAAATTCTTTTACAAACTTTTTTTAAATATTATTATACTTATTTATTTAAAAAATTTATTTGAAAATTCTCAAAGATTTTTCAGGAAATTTTTGAAATTTTTTTTGGATGGAGATCTCTGAAAATCTTTATCAAAAAAATTTCCATAGCTTTTTAATATTAAGCAATATGTTAAAAAAATAATTTCATAAAATACTGTATGTTATGATTTGTGATTATATAATTGATTTATGTAAAATTTATAAAAGATTTTTTTCCTTCTGACAATTTGCACTGTTGTGTGTAATGATTTCATATCTGTTGCACAAAAAATCAATAGTGTCTAATCTTGAGATTGTAGAAAGTACTGTGTTCATTTCGAAGGGGTAGATAGAATGCTACATATTTATCTGTATTTTTCTTTATAATTGATATTAAAATATAAGGTTTGAAAGAATTATTGTCATTTTATTATAACTAATGCTATATGTTTTTTTACTTACAATCATTCGAATCAATCCAAGTATTATCAATATTCATCAATAAATTTATCACTATTTCAAACAATTCATATGAGATTGTGCATATCATTGAATAAAAAGATTCACTGTTAAAAGTTCTAACTATTCTTAAACATAAACTTAGATTCATTAGTGAGTGAATGCAAGTAGCTAGACAATAATCTGAATCACCAACAAAAGAATACTGAAATAATATGAATACAAGAGAACTGGCAAAACAGAATCTTTATAAGACCTTGATTTTGCAAATACATACTTTTAATTTTTTTTTACTATTAGAGGTGAAGAAAGAAAATGATATCCATATATGCTATTTAAGTCTGATCTACTAAAGACAAATGAAGAATCAAAATATGCCATTTCTTTTGATGTCAAATGAAGTAAACTGAAAAATTTAAGATAAAAGGCTTGACCTTAATACAACTTGATTTTGTGCATAATATTAATTAACTAATTTACTTTCTTTATTATTTTCAGGAAATTATCTATTGTTAATTAGGTTATTGATAATGGTAAACAAATTTTCATAATGTAAATTTATTCCAAGGATGGCATTTATAATCAGAGCCTTGGCAACTTTTACTAATCCAGTAATCCTGCCAGTTTTTGTATGACTTTTATTTACAAAACCAATATATTTCTTTGTTATGGCCCAATAACGAGTTTTGTCAAGCTCATTAGAAAAGGATCTGATAAGCTTTTTATTGAAGGAATACCATTGATTTCCATAGTAAACTATGTACAAAGGAATAGAACTGGACATGATCAGCCTATTTAAATATTGAATTGGTATTGTTGGGCCAGAAAACAGCGAGTCAGTCGTTTCACCGGTCTAAAGTTTGCGTTATTAAAGGTAAGTTGAGGCGTGTATAATTGATTTAGCCGGGCAGTACTAATTAACTTCTCTTCTTTTCTTTTCCGGCACTCGTTTCCTTCTTGATACCCTGGGCTATGTCCTTCTAGCGGCAGTTATCCTTCCTAAAACGATGCGTACTTGAAAAGTTAAGTTGTTAATTATTACTTTCTCTTTATGGCAACTCAAAGTAACTATCGTTTCTCTTTTAATCTCTTTTTTATTAATTTACTTTGTGCGGGTTCGTCTGTGTTTTTTTTCTACACTGCTGCTATTTATTTACCCACCCACTTATTAATTATTAATCCCACAGCTATACTATTGATGCATAAATTGATGAGGTTAAACTATCGGGGCTAAAATAAACTATGGGTAAGTTACATAAGCCTCTATGACTACATTCTCTATGTTAATTACTAATGCTATTCTAAATTTCCAGGGTACGCGACGCGATAGTCATGGCACGTAACTATACCATGTGACTTTTACCAGGCTAACATTCTCCCCCACTTATCTTTGGTGTCCATGACAAAGATTCCCACTACTTCTAGAATTCGACAGATTATCCATGGTGATGGCGTATCAGACGGTTGGATATCGAATGGTAAAGTGATAGTGCAGACATCCGAGTTGCCATCTCTATCATTGACCGTAATTCCTGGTTCATTTTCGATTTCTTTCGTTACAGCCGGATTATTAGCATTTACTCTTTTGTAACCTTCTTTTCCATCATTCCTACTTGTGCACACAAACTTGAAATTATGCCTTTTTCCGGTGATATTACGAATTCAGATAATCCTATGTGATTGCTCTGGCTGGCTTCCCGATCTGATTTCCTGGTGAAGTGTACGGTCCTTTCACTTCCTTTTAGCCATATCAGGATTCTACAATAGGTATGGCTAGCAAATAGAATTATGCTGGGTTGTCTTTAACTTTGCTTTGATGAATGCTATGGCGTGATGATAATAGGTCCTATCCCTTTTCCGTTTTCGTGATAAGTTGGCAATTATTCTCCTAACCCTTCGTTTACCATTCCAGCGCCTTTTCTTAGCTCTCTGGTAATATTCATTAGTTGTGGATGTCATCAATTTCTCGGCTTGTGGCCTGATTAGTAAAATGGATCGTGATCTCTCATGGTCACGTGTTGCAGCTTCTCCGATGTCATTCCATGTCAGTTGAGCCATTCGCGTATTAGGTTTCCAAACCATTCATTTTTTCTTGGCTGTATCGTCCACAACATCCTGGTTTTCGGGATGTACAGGATGTATACCACATATAGAAGTTACTATGTCGTTTGGTACGAGTTGGATCAGTTGTGCCTTGAACTCCCGTGTCATATAAAAATTCTTCGTTGTAAACACATTAAAATAAACTATTGCCATTTTTCTCGCATTCATTGTATTCACTACATGTTGCCAATTCGTGAAGATGCTGCAAAGCTTAGCCATGTCTCTATACACATGTGTTCCTTTCATCGTTACTGGTGCTGTTCTTTTGCTAATGATCCCCTATATGTCTTGCCTGATTTGTTGCACATTGCGATCAATTGGAATCAGGACATCATCATGATTTCGCACCACTATGTCACACTCAGGTTTAACATGATCTGTTCGACAATATTGTCGGTTAGCAGTCTCCTAACGGAACAGCTTAACGGAACTGTTTTGTTCTTGATCATCATCATTGTGCGAAGCGCTAATTTCATGAAGATGTCGGGGTGTGTTTTCATGAGCTTTATTTTAAATTCGCGAAGAAACATATCCATCAATCGTTGCCACACCGCGGAGATATTACATGACCTGTAGGTCTCATTTTTGGGTGCATGCATTTTTCAAGCGATTACCGATGTTGTCTCATCTCCGGTTGTTTTCCTCTTGCTTTGGCGTACCTTCCACTGGACTGATACACTGTCGGTATTATCCGTGCACAACATTACGTCCACAAATATTAACCCTTGAACAATTTCCATAGGGATGCCCTGTTGATCCTCTGGGAGCTCCTTTGCTAATTCTTTTACTGTTTTCTGATCATTCTCAATTTCATCGGTTCTGTCTTGATTTTTCAGAGTTGTCGCTATTACTGGTAGTTTCTTGTTGAGTATTAAGATGTCCAGCTCCTCCACTAGTGTCATCTCAATTTGCCCATTCTGTACGTTCCTGAGTTTGCTGCCCATTTCAACTTTCTTGATTTCCTCTCCCTGAACACTATTACATAATATGATTGGTTCTTCGATCAAACATTCATCGACATCTGAGACGATGGGATGAGATTCGATGCTGGAACTAGGTTCGTCAGACACTTTGAAAAAGGAAGTTTCCTTCTTCTCAGTTTTATTGACCGTTTTCAAATCATCATTAGTTACCATCGACATTTTTTCCGAGGGGAGGAGTACGTGATAGGGCTCAAGATCTTCAGTCGTTTTTTATCATCGGAATCAGGACCTTTACGTATCTTCCCTATCACCTCACCTTTTCTTTCTTGACAGGTAGTTCAATCTTCACCTTTATTGATTTCCTTCTTCTCTTGCTGGCCTTCGATTCACAGGGTATTTCTTTTATCCACATCATAGAACCTTTCATCGCCGATCTCATCGACAGGTATTTCAACAGTCCTGTCAGCATTCGAAACCTGAATCTTTACCTGGTCTTTTATGCTATGTTTTTGCTTACTAACACAAACATTCATTTTTTTGGTAAAGGTATGTCGTCATCGTTGCACTCAGATCCTTGGGCTTGGGAATTCACCTTGGTTCTCAGATAGCTCTTCTTCATCATCATGGACTCCGGCACGACCTTCCCTTTCTTATTCTCACTTTTCCCAAATAACCAGTAGCACCTAGGTTGACAGCTCTCTTCCTTACTTTCACTATCACTCTCAGCATTTGTAACATTTAATGTGTGGGGACATTATAATATTAGGATTAATAAAGGAAAACTTTATTAAATATGAGAGAAACCAG